TTTTTTAAAAAAAAAAAAAAAAGAAAAAACGTCATAAATAAATTGTGGGGGACAAACAATCACTATATTGTTGTGGGGTCAAACACCTTTTTCACCCCACGCGCTCCCATATATCATAATCAAATATTTGGTGGGGAATTGAACATCACGTCCTTTTATGCATTTGTACATACAATTTCTACATTATTTTGGATACAGGTTTGGAATTCCAAACCGATGTTAAAAATCCAAACCCCAAACCTTATATAAATAATAGAAAACCTATCAGCATCAGTTTTTCAAACCTCATGAAAACCTCATGAAAACCTTCTATTAGAGTTGCTCTAATAATACAATTCCACAAACCTTCTTTCTCTATTCTCAATGTGTCATATCACCCAAAACCTCATTCTTACTCCTACACGCATAAACCTCCAATAACAATAAACCTCACAAACTTCTTTTTTTATGGGCCCCACATGTTTCACACTTATTTTTAATTAATATTATACTCTTACATTTTTATTAATATTTTAAACTATAACTCTATTTTGTATTTTTATTCAATCTAAATGTTTTATATAAATAACATATAAAAAATAATATATAATTATATTACATTATTTATATTTATAGTTTGTTAGTTGAAATAAACCCGGAATTAAATTGTTATTTGAAAAAATGAATTTAAATAAATGGTATAATAACGAGTTAGACGTGTTGTCGAAAAAAAAATAAACGAGTTTTTTTTAAGTAGAACGAACACCAAAAAATATATTTTCAAATAAAGAAATAAAGATATATATTATTGTACGTAGAAGTTACAATTAAATAAAACATAGACTAACTAAATTATTACTCTTGTTAATTAGGTTCATTCCAAATGCTCAACTAGGTCATGCCTCAGTTGATGATGGACTTGTCGATCTTGCATCTCGGGTCTTATTTGTAAGTATCGGCGAAAATTTCCTGGATGACCTTGTCGTGCTTGAGCTGGCGGCTCAGCGTCATCATTCGACCATTTTGTTGCTTCATCACCCTCATCCTCAATTACATATTATGTAAAATAATACATGATAACATTATTTCATGAAGATCTTCTTTATACAAAGACGAATCGGGCCCCGTACAATTTCCCCTCTTGACTGGAGCAGCCCAAAAGCACGTTCAACATCTTTTCTTGCAGCCTCTCGTCGTTGCTGGAACTTTTTTTCTTTTTGAATCCTCTGGGCACTGGAAGCTCTTGACAAACGTTACCCATTCTGGATAGATACCATCTATTAAATAATATCCTTCATTATATTGGGTTCCATTTACTGTAAAATTTACCTCATGTGCTACCCCGTGTAGACGTCGTTGAATAATGGGGACTCGTGCAATACATTAATATCGTTCCGTGACCCAGCGAGTCCCAAAAAGGCATGTCAGATCCACAAGTCTTGTGAGGCAACTGCTTCAAGCATTATAGTGGGTACTCCATGATCCCCTCGGGTGTATGAGCCCTGCCAACCAACTGGACAATTTTCCACTCCCAATGCATACAATCAAGGCTCCATAACATTCTGAGAAAACCATGTTTGTCCTCATGCAAGGCAAGTAGTCGTTGGATATTAGCAGCATTAGGTGAACGTAAGTATTGAGATGCAAATACCTGACGCACAGCTGGACAAAACTCCATAAGACTTCTATTTGTTGTTTGCTCAGACATACGTAAGTATTCATCGCATTGATCAGCAGGTGCTCCATATGCTAGTTGGCGTATAGCTGCAGTACATTTCTGAATTGGAGTAAAGCCTTGTCTACCCGACGCGTCTGTTTTTGCCTTGAAATAATCA